AGTAAGTAAGTAACTGTGCTATCAAAACTGAAATTAAAGTAAATTATAGGAATATAACCCACAAATGAAGGAGTACAGCAATGAAGATACTCGTAGATGCTCGTGTTTTATAATTTAACTGTACTCGAATCCTTCCTATATATTCGGCGGACATTTATTTTATATTAAGTCACCACACTAAAAGACCATGAAATAAAGTTTTCCATGATTTAAAGAAAATCCGTTGTAATGCTGCAGCTGATGTTGACTGTCTGTAGACCAGTATTAACGGTACATTGTAAGGAATTAATTTAAGATTAACTGATCACAATTGATGTCCGGAATAGAAAAGAGTGCATGTGTTGCGAAATCGTATCTTGAATGTAGTTGGGAAGAGGATTACTTCAACTACTAATGATGTGTTCTTTCTAATTTACAATCGATAGTCTTTTGGAATTACACTCATTCGAATATTTATTTACCACACTAGGTTGACAGGGACCGAGTACATAATATGCTAGTAAGTGCCTGAAGATTGTAAATGTACTTTCTCAATGAACTAAAATGAAATCCGAAAACAGATGACTATTAAAAATAACGGGACTAAAAACATCTTAAGGTACGGGTGTCTATAAGCAAAAATGGACTGTAATCATCATCTCCCAAAATAGTTGCGTTTGCGCACTCTACTGTTTAGCTAAAAAAGACTATACACATCATCTTAGGAGTGCATAAAACTGTGATATTTAAGTAGTTTAGTAACAAATTAAACCATTAGAATTTATTCATCACAACTTTATACAACGGGTGAGCATTTATTAGGTTTTTAATATCTGATTAATGACCTACAATTAAGTATTGATTTAGATTGAACAAAGTCCTCCATGACGCTCAACACGTGTTTCGGAAAAGCAGATCTTGCGTATCTAATCTTCTCGTAGAATGAGCCAGTGGTACAACCAGCTGGGACAAAAAATATCGGTTTGTATTATATTTATTGACTTCGCAAAAGCCTTTTGCACAGTACCCCATACACCGCTAATTCCCAAGGTTATGGAAATGGGCTTCACTTGCACACTACTATTTTGGATCAGAAACTGCCTTGGAAATAAGAAGTTTCGCATCAAGTTAAATAGAGTTTACGCTAGTTGGCGCGCCTCAATATATGCACAGGGGATCGTCATAGGTTCACTCCTCTTCCTCATATTCATAAATGATGTTTTAGACAAAGCTCAGCGACAATGACCTGCGAAGATGATGCAAAGATCTGTGGGTCCATGATAAGTAAAGAAGATCCAAGTGAACTTCAGTATATACATATATTTTGAGGAATGGACAATCAAAAACGGTGTAAAACAAAACCAGTTGAAATGTCGCGTTATGAACATTTTGCCCGACGTCGCACAAACGACTTACATCCCCAGTGTTCGTCCGCTTTTTGTTGTCTCCTCAGAGCGCGATCTCGGTTTAATAACTACTCAAAGCCTGGACACCAGTTTGAACTGTATAGGGGGACACATCCAAGGTAAACGTAACTCTTCACCTATTGCGACGACAAACTGGTGCTATCATAAATGAATTACTCTTATCGTTGTCTAAGACACGCTCATTCACACGAGGAACACATTGTCGTCGCACCCCCTCCCCCTAAAAGAGACATAAGTCTCCTGGATCAAGTGCAGAGACTAGCAGCTAAATAGGTGATAAGTTTGAAGAATAAAACTTACGAACATAAATTTGGGATTATTCTGAGTTACGGGACAATCTGAGGTGATCTGATAATGGCGTGAATATATTAAGCACGCCAACTTATCCCATCGTGATCATCTTACTGACGCATCACTACCACGTTTCTCGTGTTAATCCTGGAAAAATTGCGCATCAAAGAGCCATCATTCAGCTTTGTGCATGTTTCTGGTCATTATTGGTCATTGCTTTTTCGAACGCTTTCTCATCCGACGTTACCATAGATCCATCAGTGAACAGATCAAGAAGAGACTTGATAAACACGTACTCATATATATATTATCATCTCCTCCTTGGACCAGCTGTGCCTGATGCTTGCGTCGAAACTTGCTAGCTATTATAATTTCCATCTCCTCAGATCACTGACTTAATCCATCTCGCTTAATAACTCTTTTCTCGTTCCTTGCTTACACTTCAGTCCCCTCGTAGAATCTTCACTGCCAATTAATCAACCCAATTATGTATCATTTCCTTCGTTCTGAAATCCTTACTCTTATAAGTATTAGATTTTTATCCTTACTATTCTCCATACTGCAACTAACTGATCTCCCTGAAACAAACAAATTCATCCAAATCATGGGACAGACAAACTCAAAACCAACGGCCAACTGACTAGAATTGGACAGTCGACTGGTTATTGGACACGACCAAACACCTGGAACCTTTCCGAGAGAACAAGAATCGAGTACAAAGAAATAAGTTGGTTTATACTAGCTCGTCAGAAAGATATTGGACATTAGAGATTGCAATGTGTTTTAACTCATCTAAATACAGGTTACTATAACCTCTCAGTTTATAAAATTATCAAAATTAATGTCTCTTTCTAATGATCCTTATTATTGTCACGAGCAGATTCAGATACCACCCGCTCTGCCAGACATTTTAAAGCAATTTACCAAAGCAGCTATTAGAACGCAACCTAAAGACGTTCTCAAATGGTCACATGCGTAAGTATTTTCAAATTGGACTTTACATTTCTGTAGATATTTTAAAGCAATTGCACAGAATGAAGTACCACCAGTCAAAATGAGACTTGAGCTTCCAATAAGTACACAAAAGACAGATACGGGTTTAACGCCTGGACTTCTAAGAATTTTAAATAACCAGGTAGGTGCTAGTTTGCAATGATCTACTATTTTTCGGCCTATATAGTGCTCAATAATAGGTTATTACCACTTTTATCAAATTCGAACTTAGTTAATCTTTCCTAATCGGTCAATAAGTTTGTCACAAAAAATCACATTAATTGGCGTATTCAGTCTGTCATGTATAAATGTTTGCAAGATAAACTTATTAACACTGAACCATTTTTAAAATGCATTTTTGAGACCATTTTGTTTGTAAACTGTTCTAAGCTGATAGCGATATCTTTTGTGATGTGTTCACCCACTTAGCTACAGTAATTCTGTTAGGTTTTGTGGATATTTTAAAATTTCATCGTCAGGTATTAATGTTAGTAAGTTGTTTTTGCGAAAGTAAAGAAGCTGGCTATATTTTTGTAAAGTGGATTTACAGTGTAATTAAAAGGTAGAAGTGAACATAAATACTTACTGACTAGATTAAGACAGTCGATTGAATAGACCCTTATCCATTGAACTCTACCAAACACCTGGAACCGTTCCGAAAGAACTAGAATGGAGCGCAAAAAAATCAATTGGCGTATACTAGCTCGTGAAAAGGACATTCGATGTTGGTGTGTATCATGGGATAACGAAGTCTCGTTACATTTATATAATCTGTGTCCTGAGTAGATCAAAGCAGTTAACGTTTGTATGCGTATATATGTCTAGCTATTTTTGTATAGTTGTACGCGAATAAAAATATAGCTTCCTATGTACTAGACGTCTTTATAATCCACTGATTTGTAGTTCAGACTCGATCTCGAAAAGTGAAAATTATTGAGCCCCTAGTCTTCTATCTAATTTTCAGTTTTACAATTGTTCTCTTACTTTTTTATTATACACATATATTCCTTTATTATTCTGTATTTTATGGCTAACATTTTTCAGTAAGATCGATACTTGTACTGTATTTGTATGAACCTTAGTAATTTGCCTTGTTGTCTTGGTTCGAAGTTGAGTACATCTGATTTAGTCATATCGATAAAAACTGTACTGGCACATGAGTGTTCGCTCTTTCACCGGTAGTTCGTCATAAGTTTCTTTGCTGGGTCACTTTTTAGAGGTGATCTTGGTTACGTAATATTTATTAAGCCGTGACAAGACCGCTCTACTTTAACTTTAGAATACAATATTAGCTTACAAGCTGATTTTAAGACCTATTTCTGAAACATAAAAATATCTGTCTTGCAATTTATCCTCGTAATTCGTATTAAAGATTGGTGGGTGATATGAGGTATTGTGCGTTGTGAATTGAGTTTAGTTATAAAAATAAGTTTGAAAAAATAGTTAGTAAGGCAACTCACTTAGCTGCTTACAAACGAGATGAAACATAAGGAAGGCTATCGTGAATATCTTAAGCAGTAGGTGGCGGCCCAAACATTTTCATAAAAAGGATAAGCTATGCTATGTGAAGACATCCAAGTCAAGTTTTATCAGTTACTATAACGAATTTTAGAATTTCCCAACGTCATATACACGGATTTTGCTTAAAACAAAATTTCTTTGTATTTCACTAGATTAGGTGTCTAAAGTTTATCGAATATGTTTTCAAAGTAGAAACCACTCCAGTCACACGATTTTATCTAATTACTTATCACTCTGATTTATTTAGTAGTAAACAGTAGTGTATGCAGTGGTGTAATACACATAGTTAGAATAGGACTTAATTGTACTGATTCGGATTTTCTAATTTTTCTGAAACCAGAATGAATTTGCTAATACTTGATGTAATTAAATTTAGGTGATTCAGCAACATTGTGTACGATATGATCTTGTCATTTTATAGCTTGCATCGATGAAAGTTTTACCATTATCTGTCATTGAAGAAAAATGGAAGGATTTATCGTTACCGGTGGAACGATTTCAAGAAATTTGTCGCATAGGTAATTTTGTGGATACTTGTGAATGGCGGTGGTTTTTAGCACTAGCTGCTTCTGACTTATGCTCTGTAAGTCTTTTAACCACATTTCAACCAGAGATTGTTGTGAATTTTGCTTTGTTTGATTGCCTTAGTTCTGATAGATTACTGTAAAAGAATCTTTAGGTTGTAAGTAAAGTAAGAAAGTATAGAATACCGTTTGTAAACTGGTCCCATTCCAGTTTTATGAATAAAATTTTTCAATCCATCACTGGTTTCGTTCTAAATGCTCATGTGTTTAGTCCTACATAACCAACAATCGATGACGAATCTACCGTTGATAGTTTAAGGCATTTTGGTTGATGATTCAAAAATCACAAAGGCAGAATATTGATTCTTAGGGAGTATGACTTTGACCAAGCATACAATTGCTGTAGTTATTACTTTTCTCAGTCTATAACACAAATTTCGAAAAGCCACTTAAATTCAAACTACTTTATACATGATCTACACATTACGCGTGATCATTCAATGCTGTATGTAGGATTTTAATAACACCTCAATAAATACCTCAAATAAGTGATAAAAAGCTTTGAATTACATGTTACTCATTATAACTGTCGCATAAAATAGAAAATCAAGCCCTTAGTGCATCTCACTCAACTGTGATCTTAGAAATAGACTTTCAAGTACCTGATAAAAAATTACTAGTTCATAAATGCATGTTAATCAGGCCTAAAACTTGATTTAATTTTTAAAGGTTTTATTTGATCGCGAAACTAGTGACATGATTTTATCATGACACCTACGTTACACAGTGGTTTATTGTTTCTAAAAAACAGGAACAATAAACAAGACAATCTAGCTCAATTTCTCTCTTTATTCAATATAATTTACAATTATGTCTTTAAACATAACAGATTCACTAGGTTTTTTCACAATCAAATCAAAGGAACATCTACATTCATGTAAGCGGGTATTAAACTAAAATCAAAGCGAATGTCGAAAATTTTTAAGGTGAATATAACTCGTATTTTGACTATATATATATTCTCTCTCTTTTTCTCCTATCATTGCATAGATTGTCCAGTACGTAGTAACTTATTTCATACTGTCTGACATCTAGTTCTGAATCTAGTCAATCAACCAAAGTCGCGACGTGGGTGCTAAGCTAGTTACCTCAAAGAGACCAATAACTTAAACACTTCACATGTTTTACCTATATAATCTCACTGATTATAAATACGCTTCATGCATAAGAGATAACAACCAAAAACTCAAATGGCAGTAAAAGCTTGTAGCTAAAGTAGATGATTATAGTGGGGCTTTACTTTCTGCGCTGGACGGTTTAGTCGTCTAGCTTTCATTGTTCTTCGGAAGAACACTGAAAGCTCCATGACCAAGCCATCTAGTTCAGATAATAAAACTCCTTAACAAACTAAAATTCATGGGTTTTTGTCGATTACTCTAAATATACATTTATTAGAGTATAGAACTAATAACTAATAACTTGCATAATCTCAAGTTTTTGAAACCAAATGATATGTCTAATCTCCATTCAAGTAATTTTTCATTTTAAAAACAATTCTCTATAATTTTCTAGGTGTTTGATTAGGCGAAATGAGGCAAAACAGAACATCAGTGCTCAGTCGAACCCATATAATTTGTTGTTCGTACATGAATGTGCTGTTTTTATGTCTGTTGTCCGAGATTTGAACGTGATACACACTAACCCACTAAACTGACTACTTGAACGAGAAGACAAGCGTCATACACTGTCTTTTTGACCGATCTGCATAAAGTTAGAATCACTGTATTTGGCTCATTAAAAATAACCTAACGGCAGTCTCATTTCGTGTGCAAACGTTTGATGGTAAATACGCTAAGGGATCAATTTCTGCAAAGTTAAATACTCAGAGCATTTATCGTAAATTCAGTACTTTTCAAATTTCGAAAGCATTAACTTGATACCCTAAATCCAGAAAGTATTACGCAATTCAAAAATGAACTATCTTCCACTTATTAATAATTACTGCCGTTAAAGTATAGCTATTAATTCCAGTCAAGTTGCACTTAGACTCGTTTACTTAGATCATGTATCAAGCTCACTCCATGAGTTTCAGTAATGTTACCTGGTTGCTCAAAATCCGATAGATGTGATGGAGTTGGATTCTATTGTTCCTCGGCGTTCTACATAATTAACCATGAACTACCTATCCTGAGCTTAGAATAACAGGATTAATGATGTTTTCAAAAGTCTATAGTCTCGTTTACATCGTTTTCCTATCATTTCAGACATTATCTGATACTTTGAAATTGATATGTGAAGTTTTAACAGCAGATCCTGAAGGTGGAGCAGCTAGATTACCATTTGAACAATGGACGGAATTCTATCGTTATCTTGCCAAAATTGACGATATACCAGATGAACATATTAATAAAGTATTGGCCTACTTAAATTTTGATATGTAAGTTCATTTTGTTTACTATGTTTCGGTAGATTAGAATTAGTTTGTAGAGATAACTTTTGCAAAGATTGACCTCTTGATGATAGATTTTCTCTCCTTATTGAAGTATACCTGAATGGCTTCAGCGATGAAAGAGTAGGTATTTTTTAAAAGATGATGGAGAAATAAACTTACATCACCAGAGTCATTTTCATCGGGAAAATTTGCCTGACCAGCGGTATGCGAGAGATGACTGTGACTTCACTGAAGTCAAAAAGGTTAGATAATTATATCAAGACTATTTTTGACCACTTGAACTCTTAGATAAGAATTTTGTCAAGTAGCCTGTATTGGTTGAATAAATTTACTCTCTTTAGTTAACATATGTTTGAAATAAACTTCTGTCAATAAAATAAAAGTGTTACATTTTAGCCATGATAAGTCACTGTTATTACATCAGTTGATGGTAGTTGAAGTGGAATTAGATTGTTCAAAGCTCATGGAATCTAGGTCAAAACAGAGTATTTAACAATAAGGTTACTGATACGTGATAGTGAAATGAAAATAACGATTGGTCATCAAGTGTGAATAAACAAGTACAATCTACTGACTATTAAACATGTGATTTCTTTTCATCTTATTTATGTTTACTCCGGTCTTACTGAGTGTGACTGACTATCTTCTGCTTACTCTGGTTTTCTATGTTAGTCGTAAACCGTGTGTTGAGTTTAACATGATCCAATCACTGCATAGTGCACCGTTCAAGTATCCTATCCAGTAGTAGTATAAACTCGGTCACCCATTTAGTCTCTGTATTTAAAACACTGGATAGTGAATAAATTAAAACTACCTTCTATAGTACTTATATATAGTCGGTTAACGTTGTATAGATAGTTGGAGGATTTTCAAGTAAGACCATCATAAATTTATGTAAGGGACTCTATTTGACAAATAGCATACAATGCTGGGTATACAATTTTTTTCCACTAAATCCTAAGTAGAGTTTTACTGTGTTTAAATTGTTGACACATATTTTTCTTGTTCGTTATATCCAATCGTGTTTCTCCGCATAATTTATCTTTTCTTAACTATTTCAAAATTGCTATGTTTATTCAAAAAAGGTTGCTTGATGGTCTATCACTTTGTACATAATCAGAATAATAAATTATTTTTTTTCCTAAGATCTGAATCAATTTGAATAAACAGTTGAAAAATCTGTATCAAAATAAACGAAAACGCTCTCCTTGAATGTATATTGATTTGAATGATTTTTTAAAAGTATTATTTATTTGTTTCAAAGTTTATTTTTTGGTTTTCCATTTTAACTTTTCTTTTAATAGTGCAACTCAAAATGGTGCAATCGCACCTCGTAATTTTATGCATAAAAATTGTCCAAAATTAAATCCAAGTGAAGAAGCAAATGTAATTGTTTTTACAGAATCGATTGCTGAAAATTAACATTTTCTTTGTTTCAATGGAACATTTTATACATGAATGTACATCAATGAGAAGGATATTCCAAGCATTTTACAATTGTATTACGACTTGTTAATTGTTTTCTGTCAGTTCAATTGTGAAAGAAACTCAGGACAAATTGAAGTTGACTAAATCATCAGCAAATTAAGTGGAATTATGTAAATTTTGAGGGTTTCAATATTTTTTTTTCTTTATTTTGAATAATATTATAGTTGACACACGTCACTTTTAGTGGAAATCACTTCTAAATAACTACGAATACTCTAAGCATATTTATTATGTATCTGAAGTATGTTTGACCGTGTGACCTTGATACATTACATATAGAATTTAAAGAAACCCAATTTTTTATCTTCTAGCTTCTGATAGTTCCTTAATTAATGATAGAAGTTAACTTCGGAATATATATACATTGGAAAAATCTCAAAAATAAATAATCATTGTGTTTTCACTAGTGATTTATGGATTCCATAGAGTTTCAATGTGAAGCCATAACCTGCAGCATCAGTCAGGTTTGGGGAAGGCAGTAGTTTACCTATTATTTTAAGTAACAATTAAACTAGCTTATAGTGTTCAACGTGCAAACCATTCCACAGTGTGGGCAGCCGGGAAGTGACAACCGCCCTCATACCCGTAACAGCACGCGAGACCATAGGTCAACAATCTAATCCTTCAAACGCCCCCTAGCATCCCTCAAATAAGGTAACAGGTTTCCTTATCTAGGACATTAGAATCTCGCGCAAAATAAAGCACCAACTCGATTTACTATTCACGTAGCCCTGATGCTGCTTCCCGGGGTCTCGCAGGCGTGGGTGTAGCATTGAGTCGTAGAGCGGAACTAGCTCTCTTAGACTGGATCCCGGTAGACAGTCGCATGTATGCTGTCCGACTGAACGGGACAATAAAGACCCAGAAAGATACGAACACTCCGTTGTCTCAGCCTACACTCCCACTGACTGCAGTTCAGACGATGTAAAAGATGAGTTTCACAGAAAGCTTTCGGAACTCCTCCAAAAGGTTAGGCACTCTTATATAGTTATAACAGCTGGCGACTTTAATGCACAAGTAGGTAGATTAAGTGAAAAGACACCCGGATGGATCATATGCTGTCGCGGGTAATCGTACAGATAATGGCGACCGTCCGTTGCAACAGTGCGCAGATAACGGTCTATTTCTAGAAAACACTAACCTTAAGCAAAAGGAAAAACATCTGACCTTGCGACCCCGAAAGTCGTCTCAACGTTGGACCCAACTAGATCACATCGCCATCAGCCATCGATGGAGAGGTTCGATAGAGGACTGTCACTCGTTTTGGGGAACATGCCTAGATTCAGAACATACTCTAGTGCGAGCGCGTATTTGTTTGAGGCTAACTGAACGTAGGAAAGGCACCTCAAGGAAATCTCCTAGGATTCTAATTAGTGATACCATAGCGAAGAATATATTTCAGAAGCAACTAGAAAAACAGTTAGGCGACCATGTAAGTGATTCCAATCAGTAGGTTTCTTGGAATGATATCAAGAAGGCTGTGGAAACAGCAGCGATATCTACTAGTAGGATGAATCATAAGGCTAGAATGAAGCCGTGGATCTCAGTAGCATCCACCGAACTGATAGAGGCTCGAAAACGCATCCCACATGACTCTGAACATGAGAGAAGTAAGCCTAAGCGCAGGCTGATAAACTGCCTACGCAACGACCGTGAAGTGTTGAGTGGCGAAAGCAAAAGCGATGGAAAAGGCAGCGGCAATAGGCAACAACAGACAGTTGTACCGACTTATCAAGCAAACCGAATGTGAGACTATCTCGGAAACGGATGGGACCGTTATTCATTCACAATGCAGGAGATTTGATCGATTGGCAGAACACTTTAGGGATCAGTTCAACTGGTCTTCAGCCACATTTCGGTTGCCCACAATCCCCAGTCATCCTGAATGGCAAATCGACTCAAGTCCTCCTAGTCTACATGAAGTTGAGAAAGCTGTAGGAAATCTGAAGCGAGGGTGAGCTGCAAGTCCCGATAGACTGACCCCTGAGAATTTTAAGGATGATGGTCCAGTTTTAACAGTTAGATTGATCGAGATCTTAGGTAGAATCTGGGAACTGGACGTAATCCCATCTGACTGGTCTCAGTCGCTAATTGTCTCAGGTTACGAGGAAGCGTAAGATTCCTGTTGTGACAAACACAGGGGGAACAAGTCTAACTAATATAGTTTCTAAATTGTTAGCCTCGATTATACTTACACGCCTAACCAGAGCTCGTGAAGAGCAGACTAGAGAAAACCAGGCTGGTTTTCGACCTGGACGTGGTTGTATAGAGCACTTTTTCACACTACGTCAGGTCCCAGAACAAAGACACACGTTCAGACGCCCCTACAATCGTATTTCTCGACCTGAAAGCGGCATTCGACCCTCTCGACCGTGAGGTTCTGTGGCAGTGTCTGTCATTGAAAAGTGTACCAAAGTACAGTAACCTTATTCAAGCTTTCTACTCGAACACCACTATCGGGTGAGAGCTAATAGCGAACTCATCAGAATTCTTTACTTCAAGTGGTGTCCGTCAGGACTGTCCACTCTCCCCATCCTTGTCCATCTTTTCCGTAGATATCCTGATTTGATGATGACATAGTTCTATTCGGTGAAGACGCTGACAAAATACAGTCTTCTGAATACCCTAAGCAACAATGCATGTTCGAGATGCGGTTTTCCCCCTCGGAATGCAAAAACGAACAGCAAGTGTTTATTCAAACTCTCTATAAGGGTCTCTAAGCAATGAAATAAACAGATAGCTAATTCGCAGACTGCCAAGTTTCACATGACGAACATTACCATAGGTATGGTTTATTTCTACTATACAATCCTGCCATTTCTTACAGTAAGGTATAATTTTAGATATGAAACTGAGATTGAATTTACAACTTTCGAGTCTAGGGAATCAAATGACTTGATATTCCGAACTCATATCACCATGCCATCCATAACCAAAGTTTACACGTAACATCCAGAACATTTAGATTCCCATCCGTCAGCATTCCAGCCGGAGACATTGCCACTGATTTAATAGTCACCAATTAGACAGAATACTTATATGATAAAACTCGATCACGAACAACCAAACTATGTAACAGCGAGCATTCGCGGGTGAAATCTATGTAGGGAGAAATTCCAGTTAGTTGGAACTCAACAGCCCACTAAACACAAATATTATAAGTAATTCATGGGCTTATTCCCTAAAGCTCAATTAGTATATTTTCAGTACTCAATATTCGGTAAAGTATCAAAAGGAGATTGTCATTCATAATGTAGAAGCTGACAGGTACTACCATTCGTTTTGTCACGCCAGAGAAATTATCAAGAGACCATACGGTTGCATTAATAACAATCAGGTTACGGCACCATAATTTTTTACACGTTAACAAATATTTGGCTTCAAGGCATTAGTCTACGACAAGCAACACTAAGTCTAATCTGAAAATGGACTCATAGATTCTGACGTACGAAACTTAGATTTCCCATCAAAATTGTTTTACGTTTTACGGCGTACTTTGTGTTCAGAAAAACCCCACCTGTGATGAACACACGTCACAAGCACTACATTGTACAGCAGTGTCATCGTACTACAATCAACCGATGACCTACATTTTTTGATAGGCCTCAAAGTGCAGTCACTGATTATCAAACTACCCGGAGTTTTCGATACTGCTTGCTTTTACAGACAATCTAGATCAGCTGAACACTGCTTACCAAGGACCACAATTTAATCCGGAAGTCTACCCATTAAGAACCACGTCATACCAAAATACTATTGTTATGCTTGGTGTAACTCAATCTCACGATTTTTAAAGCTCATTAATACTAAGTGATAGGCAATCCAATATCCTGCGCAACATACAATACTATGAACAGAGTTGACCGACTGGCAAATACAAACAGCATCAATGCAATATCAGACAACCATCTATGAATTCAGAATATGATGCCATCATCACAATTGTATTTTTAAACATTATTTTACTTCCACAGATTTAACCTTCTTTGAAGGAGCCTCGTCAACTTTGTTAGCAGCTTTTCGTTTAAGTTTTCCGTTCTTAATAGCACGTGCAAGGGCCATTTTGAAATGCTTTTCTCCAAGAGCAAACGGATTCAGTTTCAGTAAGGCCTGGAAAAGATTAAGAATTTATTGGCATTAGAGTTGAATGGTTGAGGAATCGATACAGGCTGTGATTAAATTTGATAACTTACTTGCTGGTTCTTTAACGGGTTCTTCTTAACTTTAGGACCTGGACGTTGCATATGCATACGTCTAGATTTCAGGACAGAAGAGACTTCACGACAATGTAGAAGTCTACCAAGGTCTGCATTGGTCATCTTTGCCATAGGGAGATGGAAACCAGACTTCTTAACACTGCCTGTTTTACGCGTGCCATAAAGCTTGTCCAATTGACGGAATGCTGCATCTGACCAAATGGCCAGACGTCCCATGTGGCCACCGGGAGCTAGCTTGAGAAGATTGAGAGCCCTGACATTAATCAAAGTGATACCTGAGTTACGTTAGATTTGTGAATAGAAATTACCCGGGATGTTTCTGAAGGCGCGAGATATTCCATCATCCTTTTTATAAATTATTATTGGGCCGCGCTTTTGAATTCGTCTCCGATTTCGCATTTTACCTTTTCCAGCACGGAATCTCTGAGAATTGTAAACTTTTTGGATATCTGGCCAGGCTCGGATTGCTTTAAGCACCTTAACTGCATCTTTTGTCTTCTTTAGCGATTCAACCTCTTTCGACAGAACAAGGGGCAGCTCGGGAACACGATCAACGCGATGTCCACGAGCCATGACTAGCGATGGTACTCCAGTGGCAGCGATAGCAGAGCATATAGCGTATCGTCGCTGCTGAATATTTATCTTTCTATGCCACCGTCTCATCGTCTTTGTAGGGGCATACATATGACCACCGCGACACATATTTCCATATGCACCTTGACCTGATCTATGTGTACCACCACCTCTTACTCTAGGTATACGAGCAACTGCTCTGCCTGTACCCCAAGACTCAGCAGATGTCTGGTGGCCAGCCTTTGAACTGACTGCATACGGTTGTCTTGAGTTTTTACGCATTTGGTCATGGACGAAGTTTAGGATGTCCAAGCGAAGCGGAGTAGTGAAGACGGCCGGCATCTTTATGGTAGAACCTGAAGGTGTCCCGTTAACTCCATAGACGTTGACAATAGGCCTTGTGACAGCCTATAAAATCAAAAGAAACCGCTATCCAGGTAAGAATATCAAACAATGAAACTTAGTATGGAACCAGCTACGGATGCTTACTACAGGCTTGTAATTTAAGAAGCCTCGGAAGTTCATGGCAGAAGATAGCTAACCACATTATTTCCAAAATGTGGCAGCCCAGGCTAGTGTCGTCTTTATAGAAAGTTGGAGGAAATTCTCTTGGCATCTAACTAGTCTAACGGTTTGACGAATCAGTCGAGAGTTGCACGAATTGCTTAGAGCTTTGACTTCCTAACACACATAATCAGCTGAACCAGGCTTGAAGTCCTCAGCAAGCAGTTGTGATGCCGAAGCTGAATTGGGCATAGCCATAAAAACAACACTACTTACCGTGTAGCAAACTTCAAGACAGTTAAAAACCAATTTCCCTGACACCTACACTAATTGAGGAAAGTTATTTACTATCAAGTTGTCTTTACACTGGCAAATATGGTATAAATTTGTCACATGTCAAACACAAAGCAGCATGATAAGTACTTGAAACTTAATTTATAATAATTAACAAACAAACAATAGAGTAAGTCAACGTTAATACTAAGACAGAAAACGTACCATGTTAGCGTGAGCAGAAACACTAAGTGCGCCACCTGTCAGTTCAGCACTAAAACAACAGACTAACGGTCATTAGGTACAAAGCACAGTCTAGTGTTTCCGTAGATTTTAGGTGTTTTATGGTATTCGCCAGAAGATTTATGAATAAGGGGTCGCTTCATATTCATATTCACTGGAATATGAATATCGACAGATCAACTGTTTAATATAACCTTTTCTACAGCAAATTACTGGACTAAACAGTCGAATGACGTTATTGTCAAAGGAATGTTTATCTGGCGAACGACGACTGTTTTCCAGTTTTTTGACAGAAGTATACGGTTTTTCACAACTGACAAGTTAGTTTCGGACAGTATCACTCTTAATAACCAAAGTTACTATCAATTTGCTATCTGAAAAACGACTCCACCATGTACTGACGAAACTAATCGTTATAATAGCATCTTATGTCAATATCGTTTTGCTTCTAATATCTGTAACAGCAGTTATCTACAATACTAAAAATATTCTGACGTTGTTTGTGACCTCATTCTAAATGACACCGAGTCTTACATAAGTAATTTTCCGCTTCCTTCAGAAGCATAACAACTAATAAAACCAAGTTCGGATTAAATGAGACATGAAGATGCATTGGTTATCTAAAATTTGTGTCTTTCCGTACGAAGACTAGCAGTTAGGACACCTTAAACGTTCGGTTTACTTCTTCCAGTTGATGCGCACCCTTTCTATGGGGGGCTATCGTATTGAATCCACTTCTATGGAAAGAACGCGACCGATTTGTTAGAAACACTCATTATTATAACCAACTGTACCAGTGATTGTTTTACTGAACCTATTTGTTCATTAGTACCTATGTAGGCGAAAACGTCCGGCTTGTGTTAATGCCATTTTGCCTCCACTGTCCCTGTAATTTCGCCCATCTTTTCTGGCATAATTTCGGCATTCTTTCGATTACATGAAGTCACCAGCTAATATATTCACTTCCATGGATTATGTTATCTTCTCTGTAACGGGCATGTACTTGTTTTGGTGGAGGTAATCACGGTCAATTTTGATTTGTCGCGCCACTGAAATACATACATGAAAGTTTATGAAGTGTAAATAAGGACTGTTAAGGATTGTTAAATGCGAAATACTCAGCTAGCGAATTCCGCCTGATACTAGTTAAATAATGACCACTAATTATTCCTTGATGTTAGTTTCAGAATTTAAGTTTCAAGTGGACTGATTGATGAAGTGAAGTAGGTAGGTTAAATTTTTTTCACGCTGATTATTTACATGGTAAATAGATAAGTGTTTAGTAATTAGTGGATTATGGAGTACCAATGAAGGTCTTTCAGTATGAGCTGTTCAAAAAAGCTGAACTGTAAACATGTAGATCAAGGTTGAACCGGGGTAGTTATTTTACGATATGCAACCACCTTGCCACGCGAAGTAATTTGAAGGTTGAGTGACAAGAATATAAAGTGGACTGCGGTGAACATACTTGACTTTTCTCCAAGCTTGTTACTCCTCACGGAGAATGAACCAAAACTTTCTCGGACACATTCTGCTTCCAAATCTTCGTTTCAGTTGCTCCTAGTTGTTAATTAACCGTTTCATGTCTGTTCCCAGTTATCGGTGCAGTGTGTTCCTCGGTTTACATCTTTTACTGGCCTCTCTACAACAGCCCTCGGCTAGAAAGGGTTTACACGTTCAATACGTAACGGTTCCGTCCGGGGGACTGATCGGCAAATCGTGCGATTGTAGGACGGAGAGGTTGACGAACAGGAAGCGATCCATGATGCTCTAGTTGTCATCGAAAGTCTTTTATGAGGGGTACCAGTGGTAACGTGCTATATTTGTTGTTCGGTTTAGTGTACCACATCCAGAATCAGACGACTGCGTTTGTAGGGTTTCGGACCATAAAACGCCATAGACTTAGGACGGCACCAGATTGAGCGGAGCCATAAACGGCCACAGAGACCAAGTTCGAAACCATACGTAAGCCATACATATTCGGGACCAAATGACCGACTGAGTGCATTGACAAGAGCGTGGGTGATCAGGCAAGCTTTTGCCAAGATTGACTGAAATCGACGGTACCAACAGGGCGATGATTGTAGGGACGTGCTCATCGTAAAAAAATCAAGCAAAAAGAAAAACATGTGGCGTGCATGTTGTGTGGGGATAAAGTAATTTACCATACCCGTTGTTGATTGGATTCACTACGTGCTTACATAGTTCAGTAGCTTTGGTGAGGAAAAAAGGCTTTTCTTTATTTAAAATGACCATACAATTACTCTCTTTACAATTATCTCTTATTTTACATACGTGATTTTTGAATGTACAACTTCGTTCTGTTTGTGTTAATTAAAGGTTCATTCTGAGCATTTTGCAAATGCCTAATTTGAGTTATAAATATAATATACATACAAATGTGTCCACTGTGTCCCTTATCACCCAGAGTGGGCCATTCATCACTATCGGAATACTGACTGAAAAGTCCTTATTAATACACGCTAGTACACCAAATTCAATACTAATTCTGCTACCACAATGTGCAAATCGATTACCTTGACTAGTAGTTATCTGTGGCACAACTTATCAAGGTCGTGCACTTATTGATAATCTAATGCTGTGTTTAGCTCTTAAGCTGTGCAATTTCACTCGAATATGCTATAATACTTGATTGTGATACACATCTTGTTCATTCTTTGCCATTTAAATATTGTGACGACCAATTTTCGCTTTGGTTTCTCGACGCACAAAAATACAACTCAAGTTAGTCATGTAACTTCATTCACTTCCTAATATTTTATTCACAGGACAACTTTCCCAATATTAGTTATGACCAATCAATAGTAATAACTTTTCACATTTCTACCACAAAATATTGATAAGCTTGGTGAAATTGGAGTTATTTTAGCCATAGAAATCACCATTAATTGATGCAGGCAATAATTCATCTTCATATCCCGTGACTGAGAATTGAGTTTAAGGTAGCAACCAGTTATAGGATCCGTTTGTGGATCGTTATCTGACTATTGAGTGAAACGTGAAGTATCGAAATCAAAACACTGAATTTATCCAATAAATGGCACAATTAGAAAATCACCATATCAAGAAAGGAAACCTCATTTTAAAACGAACTACTGTTTATCATGCTTCAAATTCAAATGCAATAAAGTAGTTTGTCTTTCCAACCTCAATAAGAGAATTTAATGGAGAAATATGATTGATTGAAGCACAGGACTGAGCTGTATGAAACCGTCCTGGGAGTAGTCACTGATGATATTTTATTGCGACGCTTCTAAGATTGATAAGGTGTTATAAATACATTAGTTTTAAATAGCCGCACCTACCAGAGATCAGATAGAAATACTGGAAGAAAACTACTATTACAATATGATTTGAACACCTTAGATATATACATATCCTTGAATTTAGTTGTACTATGATAAAGAAATACTAAATATCACAAGTTTCAAAATGGTTTGTAATAAAATACACCGTTGAATAATAATAAGTAGTATAAATTGACATAAAGAAAAAGAACGAGTTAAGAAGTGTTAAGTAAATGATTTTTGCTCAATATAACTATACTAACTACTTTTATTTACGTTTTAATCTTACCGCTCCTAATGGTCTTTCGACTGCAAAAGATAAGGTGAATTCTGTTTGGAGACTACAGATTTAGAGCTAGTTATGGAAAATTTACGAGTATATCCAGGTTGCATGGAAAGTAGTCGAAACCCAGTTAACCAACATCTAAAATGATCACCAATGAAAGAGAGATATTTTTTAAAATAATATTTCATCACAGGACAAATGAACCAATTAAAGTCAAAATGAGCACTGAGACGACAATCAAAAGGGCATTACAAATGTTAGTTTCATAACTGTAGATCCAAGGTTAATTTGGTTTCAAATAGGGTTTTGGAATTTTGATATTCAGCTGGAATGGAAGTCTAATTCATTTCAAAATATTGTGAAATAAGATATCTTCTTAATTTTAGATTAAAGAGCGCACTGTGATCACATATTTTCATGGTATTGTAATCAGACAAAAAGTGGATAGAGCTTTTCATAGTTTATGAAATCGTAGCATGTCTCAACATACATAAAAGAAAAAGAAAAGTTCTCCGATGCAACACAACATGCACCAACCAAATCACTCTTGATGGAGATGCCTTGAACACGTTAACACCTTTACATATCTGGGCACCATCATTGACAACCAAGGTAAATCCGATGCAGATGTGAGGGCGCGGATTGACAAAGCGAGGACTGCATTTCTACAGTTGAAAAATATCTGGAACTCCAAAGAACTTTCAAACAAAACCAAAATCAGGATTTTCAATACAAATGTCAAGACAGTTCTACTGTATGGAGCGGAAACTTGGAGAACCACGAAAGCCATCATCCACAAGATACAAATATTTATTAACAGTTGTCTAAACAAGATACTTCTGATCTATTGGTCAGACACTATCAGCAACAACGAACTGTGGGAGAGAACAAGTCAGATTCCAGTGGAGGAGGAAATCAGGAAGAAGCGGTGGAAGTGGATAGGACACACACTACGAAAAGCACCTAACTGCGTCACAAGACAAGCCCTCACATGGAACCCTGAAGGCAAAAGGAAAAGAGGAAGGCCAAGGAACACATTACGCTGAGAAATAGAGAAAGATATGAGAAGAATGAGCGTAAACTGGAAAGAACTGGAAAGGGAAGTCCAGGACAGAGTTGGTTTGAAGAAAAATAGTCGTCAACCTACGCTCCATTGGGAGTTACAGGCGTAAGTAAAAATGTAAGAAATCATAGCACAACTCAGTCATTATTAGCAGACGTGGATAGAGGCTAGCGATGTAATCCAAAACACGCTTTGTGTGCTGTTCAACACTCGCCAGGTGGGTATCAGTCATCTTTGATTCATTATTATTTTTATTCCTAAAGAACCTTTCATATTCTGCTTCAAAACCTCCATGCTTTTAAAAACTAACTTAAATAGTGTTTCTTGAAATCTGTTGTAAATTAATATTGAAGTTTGAAAATGTTAAATAACCGAAACTTA